CTGGACTTATTGCCTGCTCCGTAATTTGCTAGGCATTTTAAGACTGAACATATGCTCCTGCATAGCTTCGTCTAGTCTGTTTTTGAAGATGTTCATGCTCGGAGCTTCAACGATGCTATCAGGGAGGCTGTTCCACATGTCGGTGACTCGAAGCGAGAAGAAATGTTGTCGCGTGGATGTGTTACAACGCTGTTTTTTTTTAGTTTATAGAACCAACTAGATAGAACGTATAATTGGCGATCTACGACGAGCACCCAGTACGAGGCGGAGTGCACTATTTTGTACACTGTCTAGCATTTTCATGCTGATAGAGGGCAGCTCATTTAAGACGCTGCTGCCAAACTCAAGTTTGCTGCGTATGAATGCCACATAGACACGCCTTAATAGGTGACTAGAACCATTCCACTGTAGGGCACTCAGGGCCCGGAGAACATTCAGGCGCTTCTGGTAGTCTACACGAACTGCTGACACACGTGCACTACTGCTCGTAAATCAGAAAAGATCAGACCTTGCTTACTCAGTAGAGACACATCCATGGAGGCAAGCTGCATGGCCTAGTATATAACAAAAAATTCAGCACCCAATTGAGTTACTTGAGAACAGTGTGCATTGGATTCAGCAGCCACCTAGTGGCTAGCTGGGTTGATGGCACATATAGGCCAGCAGAGACAGATCCAGTGGCAGCCCGTGATCCATCAGTATAGATCTGTAGCTGTTCAGGATAATACTGTTTCCAGAAGTCTTGAAATAAATTCTGTATAATTTGAAGTGGCATTGAATTGACTGCAAGGTTAAGATGAAGCGCGCCACTCGTGAGTTTTCTCCGAGTTCGATGTACGGTTGGGCGTCCTTAACCACGCCCAGTGAAATCTCACTCCTCAAATCTTCCTTAAATAGAGTCTTTGAGCAAAGTTTTTCATATAACAAGAAAGTATAAATGAAAGTAAAATGACCAAGCAAATAAGCCGAAGATGACATGCCAGGTTTAACTGATTGAAAATGATACGAGAGCTGTTTATTTATAATCGTCGTACCTTCGTAGCAGGTTTACGAGAGGCAACGACGGGCGTTCGCCCAACGCCTCGATGTCGGCTCATACGAAACACAGCCCGTGTAAAGGTGCTTGTACACGGGGATAGTGCAGACGGCTAGTAAATCTGGCTAGTGACGGTCGCTTGGTGACTATCCGGCAAGTAAGCCTGTACACACGTGGAGAGTAGAAGGTGACGCTATCTTCTCTTTCGCGCCCGCCAGTGCGTCATTAGAAGCCGTCGAGTGAGGTCTGTGAAGATGGTTAGTGGATCACCTTCAACAACTCGATTCTGTACGTCGTTTTTATACTATTTATTCTAGCCCTTGAAAATGCAGCGTCGGGAACAACTAAACCCTGACTAATAAGGTCTTCTTTCCGTTTCAAAATACTCGTTTCTCCCTTCATTTTGTTGGAGTAACCATCATGGAAAACATTATACTTTAATTCATATTTTTGGAATATTTCAGAGAATATCGTCTGGAATCCACTTTGTTGGATTCCTCTTAGAAACATTATTGTTCAAACAAGCCATGATTCACGTGACCCAAGATACTTCACAGGAGCGGCACAGATGCTCTCACCATGGCTGCATCAGCGCCACTTGCCACTTCTCCAGCCAAGATATCAACACATCGTTGTCTCTCTCGGCCGCGCCTCGGGCACTTGCCGGCGCATGCCTCTGAAGCGGCTGAACCCCTATACAGGCTATACACGAGGCTAGTAGCGTGGACAGTTCAAGCGCCGGATGAACTAGCGGCTAGTACTATCCCTGTGTACAGGCACCTTAAGCGTATAACTCGACAAGGTCTGCTTAAAGGATCACAGAAATATATTAGAAATCAATTACCATTTTTCACCACTCACCATTAGCATGTGTGCAAAGTTTAAGACTATCGCTGAATAATTGTGGTTCTAAGAGCTGGTGACGTCGCACTGCGGATGATCGCGTGGCCCGCTGATTTTCGTGCGCTTCATCGCCGAGGTTGATAAAAATGTCTCGCATGCTAACACCAACCGTCTTTTAGCGTCTCTGCAAAATTCCGTAATTCACGGGAAAGTGTTTACTTTGGCAATGCATGAAGAGGAAATCTTTCTATAATTTTGTAATGTTTTTTATCGTTAATACACAAGGTAATTTGTAATTACGGTAAAATTCCTGACACGTCGCAGACGTAATCTCATGTTAAAGCCACAATTGCTTGCACCTACACGACAAAAATAGTTCCTACTTTAACAAAATCCGCGACATTGAATCTGCCCTGAAATATTGTCCTCCCATTCATTTCATTATTTTAAGAAATGAAGGGAATGTTCGCACATTAAATTCCGAAAAAATTGACTAAAACAAATTTCGCATTTTTTAGAAGAAATTCCCTCACTTTCAATAAAAAAAAGTATTTCGCGTTGTTCTCATCCGGAGAAGCTAGAATAAAGACTAGTTTTAGACCGAAGACTAAGGTTAAGATCGGTAACGAGAGGCTTTCACTCTACCAAGTAGACAAGGACATCGCGACAAATAATGAACTAAAATTTGTTAGGTTATCACGCGTTGTGTGAACTACCAAGGCCCATAAGCTGCAGCGAACCTATAAACCTATAGCGGGATAAAATGACTTCAAGGTCAGAAATAAGTATCCATTGTATTTAAAGGCTCAAATAAATAAAAGATTTGAAGGCACAAAGTTGAACTTTAATCCACGTTACGCTGGAGCTCCGCAACGCGAGCCCAGTAGACAATTACTGAAAGTAAAGGATTGACGAACCAAGTTCAAATTTGTCAAAAGTCTGGTTGGATGAGAAATGATTTCAAGAACATTAACAAGTTGCTGCAACTTATTAATATTAATACCTGATCAATTGAAATGTAACTCTTCATAATTTTTGCAGAAATTAAACGAGAAACTGTGATAAGCATTTGTTGAGAGTGAACTAAACTCTACCACAAGTAAGAATGATTATCTATTATTGGTCAACTTTTTATTCCAGAAAATGTATAGAAGGGATGCCTGCTTCTGAACAAACTTAATTATCCATTGATTACGAGACAAAATCTGTGAACTGAACAAGTGGAATTTCTCTAGTACGTAAGGCGAGTCCTTTTCACGCTACTTGCACAAACAATTAACGAAGTAACCTCTGACGGCAAACTAAGATCACTTCACAAAAGCCCAATTTAACTCATCAATGCCCAAGGTCCTCATGCTCACAAAAAGCTTAAGAGATCAAAATCAGATATTGTTTTCACCACACACGCTTTACACCTCCATCAGCGACCGACGTCTTCATCACAAAAGTATCTCCGATGGCCTCCAACACTAACAAGTAACAACTAAACAAATATGGGGCCAGGTTACGCAGGATAACACGTCACAAGTTATGCCTGCGTTGGCCGACTACAACGTTAAGAAAAAACAGGAATTCCACTCGAGCGAACAACGAAAAGATCTTCACCAAGAAAGGTTCGGCCCCAACGACGTGCCTGACCTGGCCCAAACCAAACATGGCACAAAAAAGGAGAATAAAAAAAATATTCAAGCAAGAGGGGAATTCTGACAACACTTCTGAGTAAAAAAAGTAATTAAATGAACGTGCTTAAAGCCACGCTTTTCCGATCAACTCGAACGAACTACTTCATCAAAATGCGGAACAAAGAATTTCCACTGAAGAATAAAGCTCTCTTGGTTTAGAGTTATACACGACGCCGGGCTTCACCGCAGCCTCGTGCAGACCGCCGACGACAACTTATTCCTGCGAACACATCCACACAGTCGGGGGAAGACCGTTGAGGTGATGTGCAGACAAGGCAACCCTCAACCTCTCCTGCAGTCGTAGTCCACAGCCAGGTCCTCCATCACCGTCCCCCAGCAGTCCACTGCCAGGTCCTCCATCACCATCCCCCAGCAGTCCACTGCCAGGTCCTCCATCACCGTCCCCCAGCAGTCCACTGTCAGGTCCTCCATCACCGTCCCCCAGCAGTCCACTGCCAGGTCCTCCATCACCATCCCCCAGCAGTCCACTGTCAGGTCCTCCATCACCGTCCCCCAGCAGTCCACGGTCAGGTAGAACCATTCTACACGGTACATGGACCAGGGCGGGTCCACGATGGCTTCTTTAGACCATTCGTTGACAAGTCGACCTATTGCCCGTCACTGCAAAGAAAAATAAGTGATGCTCAAAGAAAAAATAGACAAAACATAGTATTGTTAAGATACAAAAAGTGAAAATCGACCACTAGCATAATATTTCCAGGGCGAAAATTATGTTGTTGAAATTAAAAATCTGTCCTTGCAAATTTCTATCTTATCAACGAAAATTTCTCGCATCAAATTGTTATTGTTTCGTTTTGAAAGTTAGTTACTTACGTTCTGATTTCCATTGTAGGATGGTGATGGTTGACAACTCAACACATTTTATTTTCTCACTAGTTGGTGACCACATGAGCATGGAGTGCGGCTCGCAGTATATGGTCATCTTCTGTGACGACATGGGACTGACATAAGACTTACTCAAGGTCTCATAGAGCTGCTTAACACCGTCGTGAGTAAGATTGTCCCTCGGCAGCACCAGGCTCGGGCAAGAGCTGGAACGTGTACGACAAAGGAAATTTTTGCGCTCATACACATTGCAAGACGCATGGATATAATTTTCTTTAATTAAACACATACAACAATATTTTTAAACACTTTTTGTCTTTTTAACCCAAGAACTTTTTTCTGTGTAGATCAGGTTATCTGTAATACATTTATTGATTTAGAAGCACCTTTCGTGCTTCATAAACAAATAAATCGCATGTCATGCAATTGTTTGCAAGACCAGTGTGCAAACAATAATCGATAGTAAATGTCATGTTGGCAAAGTGGATGTCCTCAACGAGAATTGTACCGTGAAAACTTACTTGTGATTAGTCATGCTACAAGAAATTATTTCAAACATCCAGTCCAAGTCATTGTCACGGAGGTCAGGGAAGTGCCAGCGACAAATCTTCTTTTTGATCATATCCAAGTAGCGGCCAGTGCTCCTCGGGACTACCCTGAGGCAGCAAACGTCATCTGTTGGACATATTGCATTTCAATAAACAAACAATACTCAATTTACACAAGAATCTATTCCCCATCAGCCCCGTGATTATCAATACTTGCTGCTTACATAACATAACATAGTGATGTCGGCACTAAGGAATAGGCCTGATGTGGCCTGTCGCCGATTCTTGTACTTTTCGTGACACAGGAGATCTAAAATTGTGTCCTTAGACCGGATCTTTTCAGGACTGTCGATAGTTTGCAATAGCTGCTAGACTTCCACCAGGTTCAATGTGGTGCTAAGCATTTCAAGTCTGAACACATATTTCTCCATAGCTTGGTCATTATCATTTCGGTGTTCAGTTGTCTCCACGCAACTAAGTTCAATGTTCTTTCATGGTGTTCTGGAGTAGTTCCAGGGAGCACATCCACGCTTGATATAGTTTGCAACCTGCTCATGTGCCCATGCCGAGAGGAATTTAAATTAATCGATATGCATAAGAATCTAGAAGAGGTAATTTATATAATTAGGATACATTTTTTAGCCCCAGTGAAATGACAGCATCAAAAAGATTATGTACCAAAAGTTCACAAGACAAGACAAAAGTTCCAATGAACGAAGCAACTGTACTAAAAGGAACATTCAAGTGGCTAGCAATCTTCCTATAACTTTCTCCTTCCTTCCAACGCGATAGAATTAGTTGTTTTTTTAAATCACTTTTCCTGTTAAGTTTGTGTACTTACATACATTAAAATACGATTTTTCAAGTGTACGAATATTTATTTCCCCCCACTGTATAATACTTATTCGGGAACTCCACTCAGCGCCTCCTCACGCAAACAAACCATTGCTTCCCTTCTCAGCTATCAATCCACTATTATAGATTAGCTCATTATTTGATGAATACTATGAATTTAAACAAACAACAGCAGTATTGTCATGTCAAATTCAACAAATGACTATTACAAGACCTCGGCACCTATTTTAAGACTATTACAAGACCTCTGCACCTATTTTAAGACTATTACAAGACCTCTGCACCTATTTTGAGACTATTACATGACCTCTGCACCTATTTTGAGACTATTACATGACCTCTGCACCTATTTTGAGACTATTGCATGACCTCTGCACCTATTTTGGGACTATTACATGACCTCTGCACCTATTTTAAGACTATTGCATGACCTCTGCACCTATTTTAAGACTATTACAAGACCTCTGCACCTATTTTGGGACTATTGCATGACCCCTGTACCTATTTTGAGACTATTGCATGACCTCTGCACCTATTTTAAGACTATTACAAGACCTTTGCACCTATTTTGAGACTATTGCATGACCTCTGCACCTATTTTCGAGTTAGAACAAGATCTCAGAAGCTGGATTATTCCGAGTAGATTCAGTGATCAAATTTGTCAGTTAGTAGGCATTCCAAGCAGTAAATTCTATGTGACATATTTCTAGATTCAAGCTAGTTAATGAGCATGAATAGGTGTCTCAACACTAATGACGATAATTATGCTTGTAGTTAAATGTTTCACCAGTTGCTTAATTCATATCAGGACTCTTTTCATCTTACTTCAAGATTAATACAAAATTTGTAATGCCATTCCCTCAGCACTATTAACCTAATTTTTTCAGCAAGAATTATTTCACAGATTTTGTACCACCAATTATATTTATAACAAACTGCTCATAGAAATGAGCAAAAAATTTTCTAAAGCCTTCAAGTGCTTTGAAAATACCAAACTTACCAATTGGTCCCATAAGTTCAGAACAGCGCTCTACATCCCTGAGGCTGGCAAGGCGAACACCAACACAGCAAGGCGCACGCTTCCCAATGTTACTGTGTGCCAGGATTTGGTCGGGAGTGCCATACAGGTCCATGAGATGGTCTCTGTAACCAGAGATAAAGAGAGAATTGGAGAATGCCACCAGTTGAGAACTATAACAGCTTTATCAATAAATAATATAATATTTATTTCCAACATTTATGCATTCTAGGCAGGGCTAAAAGTATGAATCAATTCACATTACCCGAATTCTGTGATAATAGTTCCTATATCTTCATCCCTAGGGCAATTTGGCGTTTCCCAGAATTAGGCCATGGGCATCATGCATATGTTTCCAACATTTTGTGCGGCAAGGCCAGCAATAATATTTCGCAGTCCTGAGATGGGTGTCCTGTGTGTTGATATCACCGTGAGGCACCTCGGCATCCTCTTGTGCAACAAGCTTGCAATAGCTCGCTCTCCATCAGCATGGCCAGTGATGAACCACAATGCACCATTCGGCAAGAGCTCAAGCTCAGTGTTTTGTATCTGTCAATAGTTTACACATGAATGATATTCATCAGTCATGTTCTCTTTTATTGAGTTAATAAATTAATAAGGCAAATGTGTTTTTCTGTGCAAAACAATATGAAAATTCTGATATTTATAAGACTTGAGCATTTTACTGATTACATATATGTTATAGATTAACTGGCTCATGATCAGCCACTTGGCTAAGATACATAATATATCATGGTTTTCAATACCATTTAGTTATCAGAATACTACATACAAAGTTTTGAGTATGATCAGTATTGCAGATTAACCCTTAATATATATCTTTGTATTTATCAGGCAAGCAGCTTGATTGCTAAACTTAGAAGAGAGAGTTCCTGATTTGTCATAGCAATAAGCTAATCAAATCAGATGTTGGATCCAATTCAAGGTAATTCACTCACCTTCAGCAAATTACAAGCCTGGGTTGCAGAATCCAGCAGCTTTTTGATTTCAGGTAACATATTTCCTGAAGGTTCTGCTTTCAGACGATGTAGAATTTCCTCACATTGGACACCATTTTTTCTGCCAACATCGGAGGCCAAGTCGTCCCAAGCCTTGAGATCTTCACTGGTTGACATTATTTGGTCATGAAGAGAACCATCCCATCTCGCCACATCAGTCCTCAGATCCATGATATCATCCATCAAAGTCAAAGTACCGCCAGATACCCGAGAAGTTTTCTTCAGTCGCTGAATTTTTTCTATCAGTAAGGCCCGTATTTTGGCCTTCGAGTCCACATCAGCATTCTGGAGGTCATGTAACACCTCAATTTTGTGTTTGCCATGTAAGCCTCTTGAGCATGTATAACAGACAAGTTCAATGCAGTTCTTGAAAAACTTATTAGGGATTAAAAATTGGATTGGTAGAAGGATAGTTTATTGAGCGATGAAATATGCGATGTGCGTCGCATCAAAAATGTATGACGAATGTCATAGCGCGGTATCCTCCCCAAATCCGGTAGCTGTGGCGGGGACCCCTGCCGCTGAAAGGTAAGCAGTGGGCCAGTGCTCCCGCCGCAGTCCCAGGCAAAGTTCCAAGAGATCACAGCACCTAAATATACGACATAATTAAGCAGGAGACAAGTAAATTAACAGTTTAGACTTGCAATGCTCCGTGCTTAGAGTTGCTTAAATGTACCAGAGTTTTCAGAAATCTTTCTAACGATCTCCACAATATGGGATAACCGTAATATAGATTAAATTTAATGAAGGCTACTGTGATCATGTTTAAATTAAAGTAATTGACAGCTCGAGAAGACTATTTGGCTAAGCAAATTAAACAGCATTTGGAAAGGCATAAAGGACACTGCACTAATGGTCGTCACGCCACCCACCACATGCTGTCGTCTGAAGTCCACGTGTTTGCATCGAAGAATGGGCACGGCCAGCGGTCCACGTCTCACGTCCAAGGCAGGAGGATGACGGGGGATGAGTCTAGTGGAGATGAAGCATCAACTGAAGTCCACAGTAACTTCAAGCAGGGCCACACTGGACAAGAGCGTCACCACACGAAATCGCGAAGCACAGATGAGACGTCCAGCACAAGTGACGGACCGCTATAGACTGGCGAATCTTCTTACAAGAGGCTGAAGATAGTTTCTGTGTGCCCTGGAATGCTTAATTCTCCAGGTGAAATAGTGGTTGGAAAATGTGGCATAAAGTGGCACAACGACACAGATGCAGTGTACTGATACAGATGCTGTAAATTGATTTTTAAGATATTTCAAAGTTAAGGCTTTTACCAAGTGGAGATCGCGAAAAAGATTCTGCATAAAGTTATGCAAATAAACTGTACGTGAATTTTAATTCTTTAACAGCAGTTTACACATAGGTAATCCAGATGCCTCTCATGTTGAGAGCAGAGACGCTCTGATTCTGTGGATCGTTTCCTTTTACATGCCTCATTTTTTGAGGGAATCAACATGTAGTTAACCAACAATTCATTAGCAGGCTTATCAATTTTCTTCCTGCATTTAGGACAGCACTTGGTTCCAGAAATTTTAAGTAAGCTTGAAATGCAGGAGAAACAAAATGAATGACCACAAGTCAGGCAAAGCGGCTTATGGTGTTTTGAATCAAAATCTTCATTGCAAACTTCACATGCCAGCATTGCAGTGGCCATTTCAAATATAGGGGAGTATTAATTTTGTTAATCAAATGAATACCTAATATTCAATTAAACTACACTGTTGGAGAAAGACTTCCTCTATACAAACTTACAAGTTAACATTTGATGGTACATCATGAATTATTGATAATCTGAAAATAAAAATGTCAATAAAATAAATGGAAAATAATATGTTAATAGGACTGTTTTCTTAAATTTCCTATGCCTTCATCAAAAAGAATATAAGAATGAAAATACCCTGAGTTATAAGGAAATTATTTTAAAAATATGGACACTAATGGTTCAGACTTTTTAAATATTTGGATGTTCCCAGCTTGTACCTTCTTTCCATTTTTGCAGGTTTGTGTAGTTACTACATTTAATGTCTTAACATAAAATTCAAGAACCTACAGATTAATGGGAGTACTGAGGAAATGTTATAATATAAATAAAAAATAAAAATTGATTCTATAGTCAATAATTTAAATCCTTTTTCCTTTTTATTAAATCGTTGCACTTATTGTTCTAGACTTTTCCTCCATTTTTGAAAAATTTGCCACTATGATAAATGTATGTTGCTAAGCATTTATTTCATTATTATCATCATCCTATTTGATTCTACCTTAAGCAGTATAATATATTTCTTGAGATAGGTATATCAATATTTAAGACAAATACATGTGCATCAAACTTGCTTATGTTGAAAATGCTTGTAAAGGGATGGAAGTGCAGCCCTGATAAGTGCAGTTGAATTTCTATTGCTCAGCTTTACATTAAGAAATATTCAAATTATGATGTATCACAGTTGCCGGTGGGCATCGGGATAGTTTTTCTCCAACTCAGAGAACACATGGGTAACTGGGTAACTGCTCATTCTGGGGAACTGCTGGGGAATGGGTAACTGCTCATGCAGTTACCCATTGAAAATTTGCTGTGACATGCTGCTATGGGTCAACAAATCAATTATTTGAATTCAACAGTTGTTAATGTTTGCAGATCAAGAAGATTCTGAAGACTACCGATCCAAACTGCCCAAAAATATTGGCCCATATAGGTAATTTATATGGAATTTTTCACCATTCTTAATATTATATGGACAAGTTTATTATTTCCACCTTTTGGGTTGAAGAATCTTACAAAAAAACTCATTATCATTCCCAGTATTTTGTATTATAGAGCAAATTGCCACAATTACTTGAATCAAGTTTCTTCAATTAATAGGAAAAACATGTACATAACTATATAAATACCGTAAAATGGGGTTACTTTGACCGGCGGGGTAACTTTGACCACTTTTTTTCAACAAAAACCCCCAAAACTCAAAAACGATTTGACATAGAAAAATTTTGTCAATGGCCATCAAAGGCCTAATACTGAGGCTACGTAACACAATAGAAAGATTTAAAAAGTTTGCATATCTAAAAGGTTAAAAAATTAATAATGTGACCCACGAAAAAGAGCTATTATTTAAAGCCTGTCAGAGTTCCCCCTGCAATTTTTTTTATTTTTTGGTAAAATAACTCCAGGTTTTGATGCATTGTAGTAGAACTCTTCTAGTTACATATGCAAAAGACAAATTTTAGGAAAGTGTCATAGTTTGCAAATGGGGTGGCACCGCCCCCCAATGGGGTAACTTTGACCACCTAATGGCAGCCATGATGGGGTAACATTGACCGGCTTGGAAATTAAGTTAAAATCACCATAGGTACCTATATACCGTCAACCGGGGCTACTCGGGACAGTTTTGAGCCTTTTTTTGTTAATAACTGTTAATAACTTCTTACGATGAAACATTTCATAAACAAGTTTAGGCTCATTATATAGCTCTTTGCGAGGGCTATCGAATGGCATTGTAAAAAAATCCATATGCTATTCGTAAGGTGCCAGAAGCAAAAAAGAGTATCCCGAGTAGCCCCGTCGAACGGGGCTACTAGGGACACTTGGAATAAAAGTTCATTTTAAAACATTTGAAGCATGCAGAGCATAATCATTCATTACTAACAGTACTCTGAAGTCCTCTTCTTTCATTGTAGATGATGTAGAGGTAGAATAAATGACATTTTCTGTGATTTTTACTTGTTTTTCCTTTATTGATATGATATTACCATATACATTAATTACTGTGTTATTGATGTGACATTATCTTATTATTGATGCGATATTACCGTATCCAACAACATGCCATTGAGCATTTACAACAACCTTGTCCACTGCAAGCTTCATATCCGCAGCCTTATAGCATTTCTTCTGTATCTGTAAGCTTACAGGACGGCTTGTAATTTCACACCATTTTAATTACATTAAGCGAATTTACTATTAAAAAAGAAGATCTTGAAAAACATACCTGAAACAGAAAGGTTTGTTTTAGTAACAACCATCATATGTTTTGGAGAAATCATAGTTTAGGTCAATTACTTTTCATTCTATGATGCCTGGTGCACAATTCTATATATGCCATTCCATGTACAATTTTGTGATGACCAATGATGCACTAATTTTTCGATGAGTGAAATTTTTTCGCTGAGCGAGGTAAATGTAATAAATATTCTTTATTTTTAATCAATTTTTTTCCTAACTGGAGCCTTTGCTAACTTAGGTTCTTCTGTAAATGCATTTGTGGGGGTGTCCCGAGTAGCCCCGCCGTGTGGAAATGGCCGCCATCTTCTTTTTGGAATGAGATAGGACAATTCCGTCAATTACGTTTTCAAGCCGACACCTGGGTGCATCTTTTAGGTAAGTAAAATTTTTTAATACGGCAAATATTTTTTTGCTACAGACCTTATCAGAAGTAACTTTTCAAAATAGTGTTTTCACCATTTTTTCAGGAATTTTTCAAAGCTAGTAAATGTAGTATTTTTCAACTTCCTTTATACTACATAGATAAAAAAAATTTTGATGTTTACGCCATTATATTTAGTTTTGCAATATTCCAATTAGTTTTGCTACTATAACAGTTTTATGCCATGTCGGAGGACTGTCCCGAGTAGCCCCGTCCGTCCCAAGTAGCACCGCCCGTCCCGAGTAGCCCCGGTTGATGGTAACATATTTTATGTTTGATACACCTATTAATGTTTTTTATCTTTATGTTTCAGACTCTACAGAGTCTTATATATGGTAATTTTAACTTAATTTCCAAACCGGTCAATGTTGCCCCGTCATGGCTGCCATTAGGTGGTCACATTTGCCCATTGGGGGGCAGCGCCCCCCATTTGCAAACTATGACACTTGATTTTACCACCCGGTCAAAGAAACCCCAAGAGCTGGGGTAACAAATACCATCACTTTTTTTGAAGTTACATCAAAACTAAGAGAGGCAGGAGCCAGCAATTTATGGTAAGTAAAGCTAGAGTATAGACCTGTATTTTGCATGTTTCAATGTAAGTTTAACTTATCTAGCAAAAAATGGCATCATTTTGAATAAAAAGTGGTCAAAAATACCCCATTTTACAGTAATATATGTTTTAAGTACATGTATCAGGCACCAATGATGGCCATTTGAGCTGAAAATGTGAATGTTGATTTTATAAATTAGGTATTAAAACATTGTAAAAAGAAAAAACTGATCAGGTGCTTCAATGAAGAGCAGGTTTAGGTCAATTTCCCTGATAAAAAGAAATGAGTTATCCTCCAACAATTTATATGTATGGCATCACATATGAAGTTTATATTTAGTGATATACTTTTGAGACATTATTACCTTTATGACTCCTCTTGCTTTTATTTTTCAAATGTATATTAGACAAAAATGTTTCAAAATAATGAAAAACCTATGAGTAAAATATCAAAATTAGCAGACCCATGCAACACTTGAAACAAAATGACCCATTTATTAGCAAAAAGTTGGAATTTTCTAGTTTGACTTCCTTGCCTAATTCAAATCTATCCAATCCACATTCAATAAAAAATATTTTTTGGAAGTGAGTAGCAATCTTGGGCAGTTGTTTTTGTTTACTCAAAGTCCTACTAAAATTTGGTGCCTGGACCTAGGACAAGCTACTAGATACATTAAACATATTACTTCCCAAAGGCATGTAATTAATCACTAAATTCAAATTATACATTACCTGCTTCTTCAAACACATCATTAAACCCAGAACTTATTGAAAAAAAAATTACTTAGGAGTTGAATGCAGGACTGTTTCTATTACTAAAATGTGTGATAAAGCTTTTTAATCTTAGAAAATGTATGATAGAGCTTGGTCAACTTGGAAATGTATTCTGAAACTTCAATATGCCATGCACTCTCTGATGAATGATCCTGATACAGATTCCCCCAATTGCATACAAGGTCACACAGGAGTTGGACTTGCAAAACATAAATTAGCTTATCACATCTTTCATGTAAGATCAAATTTATGGTATTAGGACTTTTTCTAAAAATGAAGAAAATCCCAATAACAGTTCTGATAATTGCCAAGGTTGACTAGTGCTGAGTATACATAAATGTTAAAGTTTGTGATAGTACTTATTTATAAATATTATAAAAATATTTATAAAAATAATGCGAGGTTATGAGCAAATACTTAATGCAAGTAAAAAATGGACTGAGCAGGTTTTGAGGGATTTTACTCACAATCAGTGGTGGGCACAGCTAACCTAAAAGTTAGCTTCGATAACCGCTAATCCGCTAACTGAAAAGTTAGCTTTGATAACGCTAAACCGATAAATTACCAAAAAATGTAGCGGAATTTGTCGCTAACCACTAACTTTTAATATATAAATTTAGATTTCGCTTAATTTTTTTGATAACGCTAAACCGATAAATTACCAAAAAATGTAGCGGAATTTGCCGCTAACCGCTAACTTTTAATATATAAATTTAGATTTCGCTTAATTTTTTTGGGGGGGGAACTCTGAAAAACAGGCCTAGAAAGCTGAACCTTCAGCCTTGAAAAGGAGCTTTCCAAAAAGATGTAGCATGCTAAGATCAGATGATGATCAAGATGTACGTAACATAAATAATAAAATGAACAAATGAAATTAGGCAGTAGTTGACATTCAACATACAGTTTATAAAACGAATAAGAAATATTAAGGTTACACCAGGGTTACACGCTCCTTTTACTCTGGCTTGCTCTTCGCCTTCATCTCCTCGAGGTGATGATTGTTGCCCTTCATGAACATCAGCCTTTCAAAGTTGGCATCTG